TAGCGGTCACTCCTTTTCTGGTACAGACAGAATTGGTAACTATGTTCAGTAACGAAGTTTATGACACTCTGTTCTCATACGAGCCATAAAACACTGTCTTCTTGCAAGGCACAGTTATAAAACTGTCTGCCCGTGTCTTTCCAGCAAACTCACTTGCTATGTCACTGAAAGATTACCCCTTTTACAAAATGTATAGAAGCTAAAACTTCTCTCTGTTCAAAGCTCTTCTTTTGACAGGAGTCCACTGAGCCGGTAAACACTTTAACCCTAAAATAAAATCTTTCTGTTTCTGTCAGTGGGTCCCTCCAGTCTCTTGGATTCTTGCAACAGTAATAGTGTCTGCCATGAAAATAGTACAGGGCTGGAATGAATTTTTTGTCATTCATGATTGCTTCCCATCTGTTATGCTTTTTTCTATGCAGTCGGACAGATCTGCCAACAAAACAGGCAAAATGCCCACCTCTGAGGACATTTCATTTTCCTTTATTTCTCAGCTTCCCCATCATAAATGGGTAAACTTGGGGATAATGGTAACACAATAACACTTGGATGTAAGTATCTTATGTTCACTTTCTGCATTGCGGGCTCTCATTTCAGAGTCTTGGTTTTTTGTTTTTCTTTTTTGACTTTAAATACATATGCTATGTTGGCTAATTTCCTCCTTTTAATGTTCTATTAAAATATGATAACAAAAACAATAACCAACACCCACAGCCCACAGTAGAACAGAACTCAGTCAGTGCCACTTTTTCTCTTAGCACAGACTCAGACCCCACAATGGGGCCCTGAGCTGACTTGCTACTAGGGGCTGGGGCGGGCAGAAGAGGTGGGTCACGGAGAGTGGAGAGCGTGGTCCAGAGGGCTCCTCTCCCACCCTAATTCTCCTTTGTTCTGGTTCCCAGCCACAGTGCCATGAGCAGCTTTGCCTCAGCTGAGCCCCTCTGCCATGCTGTCCTGCCCTGGAGCCTGCTGACCATGGGCTGCAACTCTAAGTCCAAGTAAACCTCTTCTCCTTTGAGTTGTGTGTGCTGGACATGGCCGCCCTGGTGAGAAAGTGACTGACACAGATTTTGAACGGCATTCTCTGCCAGCGGACATTCCACACTGCCGCTTACCATGCCCGTGAACGGACAGTGAGCGTGGGACACAGACAGGCGTGATGCAGGGCCCAGCCTAGGTGGCCGAGGGCTGTAGGGATGACCACATGCTCACTTCACACTACGGACTCGAGGAGGTGGCCTGTTGTGAACTCTGCATGCACTTACTGGGTACCCCAAGACCCCTTGACCTTTCCTCATCCCAGAAACAAAGGCTAAGACCCTCATGGGCCTGGATTACACCAATCAGTGAAACAGTTATTTTTAGAGACCCATTTCCCCCTGCAAGTGTGAGTACCCTTCCAAAAGACTCTGGAGAAACTTGCTCAAGTTCTCTCCACCTTGTAGCACTTTCTGCTGCCTGGCAGCTTCACCCCACAATTGAGGTATTATAAATAAACCTTTGCTTCAAGCTACTTTCATTTCTGACTTCCCCGCCCTCCATGAGGGGCCCCTCCACGAGGGGCCTTTGGCTCTAAGCCAGTCTCACCCCACTTCCCATTCTTCCTGGAGTGGACGTGAGAAACCCAGAGATACCTGAGAAAAGGCAGAAGTTCCTTGGGGACCCATAACCCTTCAAAGACCACCCACCTGACACAACACATGGACTGAAACTTGTGAAACATGAGCAAAAATAAATCTCTCCTCCTCTCAGGTGTAGGAATTGGGCATTTTGTCCCAGTAATGAGGAAATTGACTGAGATAGATTTTAGCACCAGACTGGTGGGCTCCTTTTGTGACTAACTGACCACATGGCTCAGAAGCCTTTGGACCTGGTTTGCAGGCACAGTTTGAGAATGTTTGGAGATTTTGGCTCTCATCAGAGCTCAGAAGATCAGAATGCAGCTTGAAATGAAGGTGGCAAAGACCAGGCTCAAGAGTTTTGAGTGGGAACAAGGATTCTACTGGCAGTTGGACTCTAGACCATGTGTGTTATGGTCTGACAGAAACATTTTCTAGGTTTTGCTAAAGACCTGAGATTTTTCAGGAGGCTGAGATTAAGGTGGCATTATTCATCTGGCAAAGGAAATTTCAAGGCATCTGAATGTCCATGTTGTGGCATGAATGCTGCTGGGGGTCATTTAGCCAACTCTGCATTGAGAATCAAGAGCACACGGTCTAGCTAAGTGACTTTAAAAGCTTTCAGTTTCTGGAGAAAGGAAGCTCCTGTAAAGTACTGATAGAGGAGAGCTTAGATGCTGAAAAGATTAGCATTAAAAAGAAGCCAAGTACTTTACATCAGGACAATAAGAATGATGCCTTGAGAGCAAGTGAGGAATCAGCAAGACCCTACCCTCTGAAGGCTCCAGGGTAAAAAGATGAAAGACTTTCCTTTGAGAAGAGAGCCCCAGGGCACCCTGATCAAGAAAGGGTATCTAGGAAATTGGTTTCCCACAGATTTGGTTCTCAGTGCTCAGCCATGTAGGCATTCAGAGGCTGCTACAGCCATAATTCAAGGAGCCTTAGGTACTGCTTCAGCTGGCCTTAGTGTCATCTATGGGGTGCTGGTTTTAGGTGCATGTGTTGTGCCCAGATTGTAAGGTCCCAAAGACCACCAGGAGGCCGTTTCCGATGTAAGCACATGAGGGTCGTTTATTCAAGCTTAAGCAGGGACTCTCAATTGTCACCGACACAGCGGATCGAGATTGAGAGCCCCGAGTTCCAAATTAGCAGGGTTTTTATCGAGGTTACAGCAAGGTTTGGAGATTTTCCACTTAGCAGTTACAATGATTGGTCAGTGCTTAACATGCATGAAGTGTACATTTCTGATTGGGTGAACTCATCAGGGGTAAGGGGTGGTTACGTATAGGTTTTACAAAAGAAAAGAAGGACAAAGGTTAGTGGGCAACTGTCACGTATTGATGGTCAGCAGACACGGTGACTAATGGTCACGACCACCCAGCATTGACAGTCAGCACATTAACAGACTGTTCCTACAGATAGTGGGCCCAGGATGTTCATTTCCTGAGTAAACAGATGGCTGAGTAATTAACTTAGGGACTTTGGTTTGTTACAGATTGCATCTTTTGTCCTAGATCAAGCACATTTTAATCATTAATGTGAGAGGACAAAGGAGACTACTCCATTTTGGGCAAAATGGAGTCATTCTGGTTTCACATAAGCAAAATGGAGTCACTTTGGTCTCACACATGCAGAATGGAAGAGTTCTAGGGTCAAAGAGGCTTCTACCCACGTTTCAGAAGAAGGCCTGGGAGGCCAGGTGTGTGCCCCTGAGAGGGCAGGGCATGAACCTGTGAGAGTAAAGCCAAATGTGGAAACTCCAGGAGGTTGGAGAAGCCAGGAAGATGGAACATCTGAGAAAAGTTACAAGGAGTGAGCAAAGCCAAGCCAAGAGAAAAGCTAAGAGAGTTGCAAACACTGACAATGTCATAGGGGAGGGGTGGCCCAAGCCATTTGGAGCCCCTGTAAAAATCAAAAAGGAACTTAAGCACTGGTGACATACAATGGCACAGGGTAAACATTCCCATTCCAAAATAGAAAAATGGAGGGATCGAAAGGGGCCCATACCTAGGAATTTGTTTTCAGTCTCAGAAGAGAGGATTTGGCCCTTTCAGGAATGCAGGAACTGTGAATACTTTGGCAGCTCTTAGGGATGAACTAAATGCACTTCACATAAAGGAGCTGTGAGTCTTGGGGACCAAGGGTGGAATGTTATCATTCATATGGAGATGTAGCCCAACCCTTGCGCTCATAATTGAGTCTTTTCAATGGTAATTGGATTACTGGGTGTTATAGCTGACTGGCTGCCAGGAGATGGGATCTGGTAGGAAGAGCAGGTCACCGGCGGAGGGGTGGTCACAAAGTGTGGTCCAGGTCCTCCCTTCACGCTCTGCTCTTTGGCCACCATGATGTGAGCACGTTTTCCCCCACCATGTCATTCTGCTGTGGAACTGGTCCGCAGCGGGCTGTAACTCTACCCAAATAAACCTCTGCTCTTTGAGTTGCAGGTGTGGAGCAATTTGTTCCAGTGAGGAAGAAATTTGTAAGACACCAAATTTATCATTTAACCACAAAAAAGAGATCCGTCATGCAGAAATTCATACACCATGAGATTGACCCCATTCCTGGAATCTTTATTTTTATGTTTGGGGAAATCCACCCAAGACTCTTCCCTTATGCACTTGAAGCATCTTAGTTTGCCTCCGTGCAAGAGTAATTTCAACTAATAGTACTGACAAGTTTCCAAATATATAAAATACCCGTAACCTGTTGGAAGTGGTTGGATGCTTATGAAATGGCACCATGAAGACAGAACAGGCTGAGTAGAAATATATGCAATTCCTGAGATTTGTCAATAGGTGGCACCATTTATACAAAATAATGCCCATTCTCCAGTTTATTAATGTGAATTCTAATTTCTCAAAAGAGTTAACAGGGAAGAAAGTGGTTGCTTTCTCAAAATTAAATTTATGTGTTTCTAGTAACGGTTTCTTCCTGAAGAGCTTTGTTTTAGTGTTTTATTTTGTCGTGCTAATTGGCTATTATTTCTGTTTCCAGCAGCTAAGAAAAAAACTTTGACAAGGAATATAAAAACATCTTGTCCACAGAAAAATTCATCCCGTCTCCATTTTGATTCAAAATTGTACACAGAGAAAAATAGAGAGAATCTGAAGGGACAGTCCCGGTGAGTCCCATGCATGCCTGCCAGCCTGGTCAGATATTTGGCGGGATTAGCCCTTTACTTCAGAAGGTGGTTTCTTAGCGATACTTTTGTTTTTCTAGTCTGTGATAGCTTCTCATCAGTTCATAAATGCCCATAGCTGGTTCTGCCACCATTTTTAATTTGCAGATTATGTGCTTTATGCACAGCAACACAAATATTTAAATTGCTCCCACACTTTACAACCTCAAGTGCTGTATTTTATATAAAGGCCACAAAATGGATCTTGTCACTGATGCGATTGGCTGTCCTGAGGACTCCTGCTTGGTGAAATCAGAGATGGAGCAGCTCAAGAAACCAAAAGCACATACTGAGAAAGGTAAAGGGGAGGACCTTCCCAGTGGTAAAAATTTCATTCTTGTCTCCATGCTGGAAACAAACAAAGAAAAATGGGAATTAAAAAAAAATTATTACTCATCTGGGAAATTTGATTTCCAATGTCATGTGGACCTAATATAAGTGATATGCATTTAAGAGACCAATAATGCCATTTTAATTACTTAGGGAAAGAAGAACTTGTATGAGCAACTCAAAAATAGCTTATAAATATTACTATGTATTAAAGTGTGCTTGTTTATTTTGTTTTACTTATTTTTGGTTTCTATTTATCATGTGCCTGCAGGTTTTATTTTTAATTCATTTGATTTTTTTTTTTTTTTTTTGGTACCGGGGATTGAACTTGGGTCCTTGTGCTTATGTAGCAGGTGGGGAAACCACTGAGCTAAATCCCCGGCTCTTATTTTTAAAATATAACAAAACTTGCTTGAAGTTCCCCACAATTTTCTATGATCATCCACAGTCCATGCCAGCGCCGCCTGCCGTAATTATGTAGTATTAGCACTGCATCCAGGAAAGGAAGATGTGTTTGCTTTGTGGGCCACTGGACCACTCACTAGACCAGTCCTCACCTTGTGGACTAGCAATTCATCCCATCCTTCTTTACTGCACATCCAAAACAGCAATTTCTAACCCTAAATATGTAAGAATGCTTCAATAAGGTGAACATGAATATCAAGGAGAAGATCTTCATTAAGTGAGCTGCTTTTTGAAGATAAATGTGAAACTTACATTTTTCAGGGTAATGTTTGCACTCAGTCATACTTTCTAGGCCAGTTCCTAGTTACTCTTTTTTTTGCTGGTAGTTTTGAATCTTTTAATAGGAAGTGTACAACTGGCCCAGAGATGACACATCTTTTAAGGAGAATGAATCCTTTCTGTGTGTCTGTATATAATGTCTAAATGAAACACAGAAGATCATAACGGGATTTATTTTGCTAATAAATACTAACATAACTTTTCATGCTTCTCGTTTTGTCCCAGAACTTTTCCAAATTTCTAAAATGTGTTACCTAGTTTGATACCAAAAAGAACATTATATGGGCACCATTATTAGATCTTTTGTCCAACTTCAAGTTGACAATATTAATACAAACTTTCTGTTTAATGTAAAGTCTCTTTAAAATTATTACAATATAATCCGTAAGTGTCCAAACACTGTAAAGAAATTTGACATTCTCAGAAAATGTTAAGTACCTTCTATATATCATTATGCTTTCCACAGCAGAATAAAAAGCTTAGCTAATTAATTGGAGCTTAACAATGTATTAATGATTTAATAATGATTTAATGACAAGTGCAATTTGGAGAGTAAATTAACACTGGATAATTGACACAAATAATATTTCTTGGACCAAAGAATATATGTTAATTAACTTTATTATGAATATTTATGAGGCCATTAAAAAGTCACTTTCAAATGAGAATTTTAAACAGTTTTCAAAATCTCTGAATTTTTGTTTTTTTAGTACCAGGGATCGAACTTAGGACCTTCCACTTTCAAGGCAGGTGGCGGCACCGCTGAGCTAAATCCCTGGCCCACAAAATCTCTGAATTTTTAACCACTGAATTAGTACATCACCACTGAACTAGTAGAACAATAACAATATCTAACACTGCTGAATACTTATTATGGTCTAGGCAATGTGCTAAGCCCTCACTGAGTACGATTTTAATATGGCAAAGCCATGAAGCAGGTGCTATGGTTGCCATTTGACAAAACAGGGTGGAGATTGGGAAACTTGCTGAGGTTCCATGGGTTCCCGAAGCCTGGACTGGAGCTGCATGCCCCCTGCCAAAGGCCACCTCGTCCTCTGAGGTATTCCATTCTCCCTCAGGAGAAGGCTTCTCTACATCCTCCCATGACACGAAAACAAATTAAACCCTCAGAAAATTCTGAATATGCTATATATGGTGAAAACATATTTTAGTCCAACCTCTCTTCCAACTAATACCAACAAACACTGATTGATAATTGGTAATATTGAAAATATGAATCCACTTTCTTAAAAGGTAGGAAAGAGAGTAATAATGCAACTTTAACTTAAACACTCTGACTAAATCACCAGCAAATAAATAAAAGAATTATGTACCAAAGTCTATGAAGTATGGAAGTTACATTCTCCATAAATAAGCACACTCCAGGACAAAGATAAATTGGACAACTGCTTGTTTTTACCTGCACTTATAACTTTCAGAAGAATAAGCCTGATTTCATTTGTGGCATCAAAAAGACTTTGATTTTACATGGGGAAAGACCAATGTAAAAATAGGTGGTATTTTTTAAAAGATTGTGAATTATTGAAAGCAAACTACTCAAGGTGAGTTAAAGCTCTAAGTAACAATGTATAAATATAATGCCACTAATGCCTTTGCTTTAACAATAGACACTCTTGGAAGGGTGCTAACATATTCTCAATAGACCTATATAGCTAACTCCTATAGTTCTCCATTCCTGAATAAATCATCCAATGCTAAGTGAATTTGGAGACTTAATGAGTCACACAAACAAAAGATGACCAGTTTAGTCATATGTGAGTTGCAATTTTTACAAATAACATTAAGATTTCCTAACTCATGAATTTTTCTTTATATTTTGGCCAAATCTTAAGGAGTCTTTGAAAAGATAAAGCTTTACCTTCTCCAGAAGCCACTGCTGTCTCCCACTGACCGGAGGAAGTTTGACCGTGACTTTGCTATCTCCACTTCCTTTCATGGGGTTCACAATATTGTTCGGAGCCGAAACAAAATCCAGAGAGTAATCTGGCTGACCGTGGTGCTGGGCTCAGTCTCCCTCCTGATGTGGCAGGTCTACAGTCGCTTGGTCAACTACTTCTCATGGCCGACCACCACATCTATAGAGGTGCAGTATGTGGAGAAGATTGAGTTTCCTGCTGTGACATTCTGCAATTTGAACAGGTAAAAATTACTCTTTTAATAATAATTAGTCTTTATTGCTTTGGTAGTATAACATCAATTGAATTATTGGCGGAGTTTTCTCATATAGTATTTCATGTATTTAAACCCTTTGAACTTTTTAATTGTATGTAAATGCACAAATTTAGGGTAGTAAAAGGGCTTATTAACTTTATTTTCTTTTGTTTATTTTTCATTCCTTTCATAATTATATCCTAGGTAAATACCAAAGTGGATGATTAAGTAAATAAACAAGTATTGATGCCAGCACTGAAAAACTGTATTAATTGCAAAAAGGAGAAACAATCACAATGCAATATGATAATTCCACAATACAATAAAAGTATATTGTACAATATATTGTACAATAAAAGGGCTTCAAAAACACAGAGAACAGAGTAACTGTCTGCATCAGTAAGTTTTCAAAAAAGTACCTGATACCTGCAATGTAAAGGAGGAAAGCTTTATTTTTAGCTTATGGCTTCAGGGGATTTAGTTCCTGGTTGGCTAGCTGCAAGGCAAGAACAGTATAAGAGGAAGTGCGTGGCATGGCAAAATGGTGACAGAGAAGCAGGGGAAAAGCACCAGAGAGGGAGGAGCCAGGAGCCACACATTGACCTCAAGGTCATACCTCCATATCCTGCACAGACTCACCCACAATTGTGCTTTCTTGGCAACCAAGATTAACTGTCACACAGACTGTATGTGAGATTGAAGTCTGGGTATTAAAAATGACTCAAGGTTCCTAGGTGGAGATGAGGAAGACCTGGAAGAGGGAAGTAACAGCAAACCCATGAAGATATGAAAGGCTTGGGATACGTAGGATGAGACATTTACTGTAGTAAAGACAGGCCAGCTCCTAGGTGGCTTCACGGGCACTGTGCTTAGAAGGGCATTATGTTTTGTTTAATTCTCTGCTGCCATTCTGAGTCCTTGACTGAAACTCACTGCAGAAAGCTACAGTTCACTGTGCAGCACCTCTGCATTGAAGAGACCAGCTTTCTCCAGTGGGGCTTACACACTTAGCATTGTAAATGCCCACTGTGAAACTGGAAGGATTACTGGGGAGACTGCTCCCTGCAGGAAGGGACTCCATAAGACCTGCCACTCATCAGTCACTTGGGCAACGACAAGTATATTTTCTCAGCTTCAGTTTACTTTTAATATTATCTCCTTTACACATGTGCTCTTATATCAGATGAGGCAATATGTGCACCATTTTGTTTTATTTTTTAGGTAATTATAGAATCAATAAGTTTTACATATTACATCATATTTATGTGACTGTTAGCATTTCAAGAACTCAAGATATGTGTCAAGGTCTCAAATAGTAAAGATAAATCCTACCCCCAGGAAAAAGACTTAATATTGCCTCAGATTAATTTAAATAATATGCATTCTAATAAAGCAAAGGTTGGTTGAGGTATCCTTCATTAAAAGAAAATGTAGACACTACTTTTAGAAAGGCTGATGTGAAGATATCCATTGACTTTCTCTCCAGGGAAACAATCTCAAGTGGTGAAAATTATTTTTTAAAGCAATAATTTAAAGTATTTGGAAATTGTCCTAAAGAAATATGGCAAATGAAGAAATGTTCCTTTAGGAACACTCACCAAATCTCAATAACAGCAGTGAAAGTCTGTACAACTTGAACTATAAACCTCTTCCACTCTCTCCTTTGCTGCCTCGGTCTGACAAAAACTACACTCCTGGTGAATGTGGCAAAGAAAAGAAAGGTTCTCTCTCCTCTCATCTCCCAGCCAAGGGCTACCTTGTGCCCTGGAGATGCAGACTGCTAATGTGGCTCATAATCCAGCTCCACCATTGCAGAAGCTAAATTCCAGATGAGTATAGCTAAGAGGTTGAGCCACCTTTCCTCCCAGGAACTCCCATTTGTGTGGTGGAAGCTGTACCCAAGGATGATAAGATGAGAACACCCAGCCTATTTAGGGTGTAAAGGTTCCACACTGAGAGGGCCAAATCACTATGCTAACCAGAACCCAACTTGTGAAGATTTTATCCAGAATGAGAGGCTGGCCATAAAAATAAGAGAAGTTCAAAACTCCCAATAAGGGATGAGTTTGCTTATAATAGAACATAATGAAGTTCACACTTAAGTACAATCTATAACAATATATATTTTGATGGGAAGTAATTAGAAGAAAGCTGTTACTCTGTAAGAACAAGCTAAATCACAGTTTACCAATGAGAATTTGGAAAAGAGATAAGGAAGAAGAGCTCTGCTAAGGTCAGAACTACTCTCAAAGATTGACCACAAAACTTGCTCCTGCAAATCTGTTAGATAAGATTGTGCAGCAATTTATCCCACAGGACATCATTAACAACAATAGGCCCAGGTGGGTCTAAGGCAGCCTAACCTCTAGCTGTGATGCCTGCAGAGACAGAGAGCTTACCATGGAAGTTAGGAAGACAAGTCACCAGCTAGAGGAGCCAGCATTGAAAGATGACTCTATGTGCAAGGCTGTGCACCTTGTGTGAGATATCAGAGGCATCACACTAGGAGAAGATAGACTTTACTAGAAATGTCCACCCAGTCACTAAGCAAATAGTAGAGCAAAGCAAGCCCAGGGTGGGGGAGATTAATGAAATGGATGGAATAGTGACTCCTCAAAATTCAAGCTGCTTAGGTCTCAGATTTACCATATTTGAAAATTGGATACTTACAGATGTAACTAGTGAGACTATATTGCATCAAGTTGACCCATAAATCCAAACACTGATGTCCTTAGAAGGCAAGGAGAGGATGCAGAGATAAAAAGGGAAAAGGTCATGTGCAACACAAGCAGAGATTGCTCTTATTCTGCCACAAGCCAGTAACACTTTGGGGCCATCAAGATATGTAAAAACGAAGGAATAAGCTTCCCCAGAGCATTGAGAGGTAGGAGGCCCTTCAACACCTTGATATCAGACTTCTGACCTACTGCAATGTGAAAGATTAAATTTATATTATTTTAAGCCAAGTTTGTGATAATTTTATTGCAGCCCTAAGTAACCACAATTGCTATCCATATTTGCTACCATATATTATAAAAAATGTCAAGTTTTTAACAAAAAAATAAGAGGCATAAAAAGGAATGGGAATTTTACTTCGTACATAGAGGGGGAAAGTAGACAATAGAAACTACTTGACAATGGTGTTAGACTTAGCAGACAAAGATAGCAAAGCAGCGGTTACACTTATTTTTTTAAAACCTACATAAATTATGCTTAAAGAAGTAAAGGAAGCTCTGATGACAATGTCTCATCAGATAAAGAAGAGTAAGAAGGACAATAATTATAACAAAGTAAATGGAAATTCTGGAGTTTGAAAGTAGAGTGAAGGAAATGAAAAATTCACTAGATTCACCAGAGGTGCCACAACTATGGATTTGAATTGGCTGAAGAAAGAATTGGTGAACTTGAAAACATTACAGAGTGCATGGGACCTGAAAAATAGAGAGAAAAATGAATGAAGAAAAAAGAACAGAACCTGAAACAAATGTGATGCAACATTCAGCACAACAACATGCAAAAGAGGGAGCACCAGGAGGAAGAGAGAAAGTAGCAAAACACATAGACACAGAAAATTAATGTCTAAGGGCCCTCCCAATTTGCAGAAAAGCGTTAACCTGCATCCAAAAGGTTCAGCAAACTTCAAGGAAGATAAATACAAAGATACTTGCAATTAGAAACGTCCTAGTGGGGAGGTAAAAAGAAAATCTTGAAAGCAGCAAGAGAAAACTAATCAGTCACATACAAGGAAGCCCAACAAGAGTAACAGGTGATTTCTCGTTATAAACATTTCAGTTCACTGGCAATTAGGAGGTGGAAAACGTTTCCCTGAGGGTGCTGTTTCCTGCACTCCTTTCTGTTGAACTGTCTCATCAGCAGGGAATTGATCCTTGAAAACTTTCCCAAGGAATTTAGGGTATACTAAGAAGGGTACAGTTTCTACAGGAGGTACCAGGACCCTATTCAGTTCTGTGTGTGTCAGAACTGATCATGTTCTGACACTGTCCTCCATTATATGGCAAAATCATTTTCAGTAATATTCATGAACTTAAACAAGTGTCAATAGTGTCTTACATGCTTTTGTTGAAATAAAATGTACAAAAGTAAAAAGGCAATGCATTAGTACTTTTGAACATTAACCTTTTTTAAAAAAGGATATATTTTAAATCTGTTTCAGTAAGTAACAATAGTATTGTATTTCCATTTTCAGCCTTTCTGTAAACTTGTCAATTCTCTTGTCAAAATTTACCCTCATTTAATATATTAATGTTCAAAAGATAGGCCAGCCAATTTTTTCAATGTAGCTTCACTTGCAGTTTATTAAGCTTATTTTATTTTAATTTTAAGTGTCTTTCACATAAAGCAATAGCTATACAAATATGACTTAAACTCATAAGGACACATTTGGCAAAGATTCCTGAAACTTAGACTTCACATAAATTCCATAAGTTGCAATATTTTTGAGACTTAAAAAAATTAGAATCAATTCTAGTGGCTTTCAAATATCTCTGTCAAAAATTTTTACTAAAATGGCTTCACCATAGAATTCATTATAAATTTCCATTATATTTTGCTACAACTTCTGAAACCTTCTTCGACTAAAAGCAGAGATAAAGGATGCAATAGTAAGCACTGGCGGTAATTAACACCAGTTAATTATTTTTGATTATGTAACTCAAGTTCTGTCTCTTGATCTTTATAATCACCGTGTTCTATTTATTCCAAATTTTTGTGAATGCAATATGTTCAAGTGTGTATTTGTGTGTGCATGTGAAAGGATTTTTAATGGAAGGTAAAATCACGACTCATACAAATATGAAATAAACTTGTGAAAATTTTTGACAATTAATGAGAGAGTTGGGAAGAGGTTGAAATTGAAAAAGGGAATCTTCTGATATTTCCCCCATTTCATATCTATAAAAATTATCTGTAAAATATGCATTTCTTGTTAAGACATATAGACCACATGCACACACTGGTTGGGCAGAACTCAATTAAGGGCTGAGTCAGACATCAGCTTGGACAGCAGGTGAAACTTGGCATCTGGGTATATAATATGGAGGAGTGCACCTAGAAATGTAAATACACACACAAGGACAGACTTATTAACCCTCAAATTTAAAAGGACCGTTGTTAAACTGTTTAAACTAATCAATATATTTTTATTATCATTTTCTCTTAGTAGGTGATGAATAGTGTATGTTAAAGAATAATTCAAATTCTATTTAAGCAAGGTTTCTTGAAGGATAACTTGGGTTTAGAAGTTTGAATTAAAGTTGAAAATAAACAGTACAAAACAATTTGGTTTTATGCTAAAATGTCTCAAAATTTTCATTTACTTATTTCTAATTTTGTTGGACCTTATTTGTTAAATTTAATTCATCTATTGAAATTACCTTCATAGTCTCACCATTATTAGCACAATAAAAATGTTTTGAAAGAATATTTTAAGATGCCATCTTTTAAATGATTTTATCTATTTTATTAATACCTCCTACAGTTGTGACAATTCTTTCATTTTTCTGCACAGTCACTCTGGAAAGAATACAGTCAACCTTGTGTGACCCTTGTCCTGTGCAAGACTCCAAATTCACAGGGCTTTGGTGCAAACCCTTGGGATCCTGCCCATCATTCCAAGTTAGAGACTTGAAGGAACTTACAAGCCCCTCCCTAGTAAGAAGTGTACAAGGTACTTCCCCCTCTAATCTACTATGGAAGTAAACTGTGCACTCCTACAAACATCAGGAATAGCCTTGATGAAGAAAAGCAAGGCTATTAAATATTCAGTAGTTAGAGAAACACCACTATGAGAGAGGCTTATAGCATCTCGGGATAAAGTCAAAGCAGGTATTTACAGGGTTTTAGGGCCTGTGTTGGCCTTGTGAGGGTCACAGCTGGTTAAAGAAGACATTAAATTAGATACTTAACGTGAAAGTTTCTCAGCTCTGAAATTTGATATGTAGGCTAGGGATTTCTTCTTTTGGTTTTGTCTTCTCTATGACTTAACTAAGAAAAACTGAAAATGGCTTGTACATTTCTACAAAGGATAACATGAAGAAAAGTGAAAAGATCTAGGACACAACCACAGTGAGGTACCGGCCAACTCCAGTTAGACTAGCTATCAAGTACAAGGTCTTGAGTTTGATCCCTGGTACCAAAAAACAAAAACCAGAGAAAAAAAATAAGCAAATAACAGATAATAGGAAGGATGTGTAGAAAAGGGGATTCTTGCCACTGTTGGTGGGAATGTGAATCAGTACAGTCATTACAGAAAATCAATATAGAGGTCCCTCAATATATTAAAAATAGAACTACCATATGATCCAGCAATCCTACTACATGATTTTTATCCAAGAAAAATATAATGATTATGTTGAAGAAACATCTGCACACTCATGTTCACGAGTCACAATAGACATCAACTCAAATGCTCTTTGGCTCATGAATGAGTAAAGAAAGTGTAGTGAACATACACAATGCAACACTCTACAGAAAACAATGCTATCCTGTCATTGACAGCAACATGGAGGGAGCTGGAGATCACTGTGTTACGTGCAATAAACTAGGCGTGGGAAAGCAAGCACCACACGATCTCATTCATGTGGCACCTGGAATAGTTCATCTCACGGAAGCTGAACTTACAGCAGTGGTTCTCAGAGTCCATGGAGACTGACGAAGACGGAGGGATAGGGGAGGCTGATCAATGGTTACCAAGTTCCAGTTAGGAGCAAAGACTTCGTTGTGCTATTGTACAGTTGTGTGACAGGTGTGACAGTAAGACTAATGTACTGTATATTTAAGAACACTGGAAAGATATTCTGAATGATTCACCAGTAAGAAATGAAAAATGTTCAAGGAAATAGATATGTTAAATTGGATTTAATCAATATATATATATATTACATACATCATATATAGCCCAATTAGTATGTACAACTTTTGTGTATCAGCTTGAATAAATTTAATTTATAGCTTTGAAGGAAAGTAAACAAAAACAATCTAGGACATAAAGAAGACACAAGAATGACATAAAAATCACATACGACGTGACCCTGTTCACATACTAAGAGTAAACCACATATTCTGGTCTGGGCTTTCTAGCAGTCAGCTTGAAATGGGAAAACCTGCTCACTTTCAACATTTATAATATCCCAAATATGAAAGTAGCAATCACATCTTGAAACAAATGAAAGGCATACATATAAAGAACAATATGCAATGCAAAGTAGAAATTGCTTAGGAAAATAAGAAAATTATGAAACAATAGTTAGGTTAAATAGATTACTTCTGGTTTGATTACCAGGAAAACACTTTGACAATAATGATGCATTTATCAACAAATACTTACCTGACCCTCACTATATTCCAGGCACTTTTCCAAATATTTTCAGGAAAAATAATTTATAACATTCTGAGGTCAGTCATGTTAACGTAAACTCATTTTACAACTGAGGAAGCTAAATGGGAAGGAGACGAAGAAATCTGCCAAGGGTTACCATTAATTAGGGGTTGATAAAGAAGCAGAGCCAATTTGCATGGCGCAGCATAAGGGAGCTTGATGGGTTTGGGCCCTGCCCAGTCATACTGCTGATTACGTACTCTTTGTAAGGCCAGTCCCTCTGTTCTTGTTGCTTGGGCTGAAGTCAGCTGAGCCTTTTTGAGAAGGAACAGTGGATGTGCAATGGGAGCAACACATAAAACATAGAAATGTATCTCCTTATCAGTGGCTCTGATCTTGATGTTACAGTTACCTGTAGGATTAGCTGGCACCTTCACCAGGCTCCATTCTCTCTCCCTGGATCGAGTGTAATGCTATGGGGCTCCTGCCCCGTGATGATCTTCAGAGTGTGACCAGATGCATATGAGCAAGAGGACTCTGGCACACACAGTTCCAGTTTAGCTGAGCACATGTAGAGCAAAGCATGATAATTGCAGAGCTGAGATTTGAACCCAGGAACCTGGTGTCTAAGTGGATGTTCTTTACAGCTACTCATTTTCACCTCCTCCTTTGAAGGAAGGAAGAATTGAGTCTCAAAGATCTATTAAGGTTCAACCAGATCAAGATGTCGGAGATATATGAGGTAAACTAAAATGTGTGCACAAATATATGATAAATTTCACAATACATTAAGGACCTTTTTGTATCTTTTTTTTTCTTATTTCTTGTAAATGAGGGACAGTGTAGAAAATATCAAAAAGCTGATAGAGTACAGATGTTTGGTTTCTTCTGGATAATTGTAAGTTTTTGTTATTCTAACTATTGCTTTTATTCTTACTAATAGGTTCAAAACAGATGCTGTCGCCAGATTTGGCATCATTTATTTCTTATGGGATATTGTATCCAAGGTTTTCCATGTTCAGGAAATCAATGCCAATTCCACTGACTCTCAACAGGCTATTGATTTTGTTTCGACTCACCAAAACTTCAGCATTACGGAGTTTGTAAAGAACAATGGTTTTTATCTCAATAGCAGCACCTTGTTGGCGTGTGAGTTTTTTGGAATGCCATGTGGCCCAGAGGTAATAATTTGACATTTCTCCAAATTTGCCGAGATATGTTACTTGTTTGTACTGTTTCACATTGACATCATTTCCTATGTGGAATCAGCCTAAATTTATTTAATTGTTATATTTCATTAGCTCTGCCTTGCCATATCTGATGTTATAATATCGGGAGATGTGGGATATACATGAGATACATTTCCTATTTCAAATAGCTGGATAAGGAAGTAGGGAGAAGAGAAATTGTGATGGCCTTTCTTGTAACACCGTTCTTCCAAAAGTAAAACAACTTCACAAAACAAAATATTTTATTTCTTCTCATTCACCCACAAACAACCTATCCCAAGATAGCACTGTCATCGTCAAGCAGCTTTCATTCTGTTTCTATGCTTGTTGTGTCGTAGAAGTGATAAAAGTGAGAGTGCCCCAGCATTAATGTATGAGAATCACAGCGTACATAATACATATGCTGTATTGCATATTCACTCCTAACATGAAATTCTACTTTTACTATTTATGTAATTACTCTATATTTAAGGCAGAGTGTGGATGTGCAGAATCTATTAATGAAGACATTGGTAGGCAGTCTGATGCACGTTATTTCCTGTGTCAGCAATCCTGTAACGATTCTAACCAAACTTTGTAAGTTCATGGTTCTGGGGTGCTATCCTTACCTTTTCTGCCGTCTCTGCTAGCACACAAAAAATGCCCAAGAGACAGCGACAGAGACAAGGACAAAGACAACAGACAGAAACGGTCTGAACTCCTAATTCAGAAGATAACTTTTTCTACCTTCTTGCTGTTTATTTACCAACACATTTATTTATTTACAGTTTATTTACCAACCAAACTCAACACCAGAACATTTTGTGTTAGGGATGACCTTTTCAGTTTTGTATTCCAGAAACCCAATTCTAGTAAGCTGAAAGTCAAGCAAATTAATCGGTTTAATGAAAAATGACAATTCTAAGTGTAGGAATGGCTTCCAAAAAATGCTACACCAAAGCCCTCCAAGAATATCATTGAGATTCTGTCTTTGTTTCCATCTCTGAATCTGGTTGGCCTCTTCCTCACACAGAGCCAAAGAGGTTGTCAGCAAACCGGGACTTCTGTTATCGTAGGCTCACACTCCAGTGTCTGCACGATGACCTCATGGAAGGCTGCTCAGCAGTTTCGGACACCCCACATTTTATGACCAAATCACTGAGGCCGCAGAGCAGGTTAGGCAGGGGAGTACAGCGGCTGCTCCCCTCTGGTGGATGGAGGCAGAGGTAGAGGAGGGTCAAGGGCAGAGTGGTGGGCTGCTCCTCAAACAGCTCCCCGTGGTACAGACATGCTCCCATAGACCCTTAGTAAAGCATAAAACATGTCACTTTATAAATGTGAAGTCATGCCTAATTATATATGTAGACATCTCATTGGAAGAATCGCATGCAGATTGAAAGGTGCATATTAAAAAGGAATAAAATCTATCATTGAATATACACATAGGTCATAGGGTATCTATTCTTGATATTTTTGCATTCTTGTTTAGAGATCTATGATTTTTTTAAATGCTATAGTAATTTAAACTTTAGAAGTGAGGAAGACACCAAACTGATTTTGTTTTATTTGGCTTGCTTTCATGTTGGAGGATTTTAAACACATCTTCACTGAATACGGAAACTGTTTTACTTTTAATCATGGTGAAAATATCCAAGGAGAGAGAAAAGTGAGTGTGTCCGGAAGAGGCTTAAACTTGGTCTTCGATGTTCATCAGGTATTGCACTCTGTTGAATCTAGCAAGGGCTTGGGATAGTCAGGAAGAGGCAAGATTTCAAAAACAACACAAACAACAGCATCATTTGCTCTGCCAGATAGATCCTGTCAGTTGGACTTTATTTGTTTTTGACAATTTAGCCCAGTCTCCCCTGAATTCTACAGAACTGCTGGTTTAGAGATTGAAAGAGCAACATTTGCAGGCACCACCTGGAGATTCTTAGCTGTGCTACTGACTTCTGTTGCTGTGATTCCAAGAATCATTCATGCCAGAAAACTTCTAAGGGAGCCAGAGACTTCTAAGTTGCCATACATACAGTTAATTTAAGATGACTCTGTGTGCTTAATAGTGGTAAGATCTTCATGTAAACAAGGCAATATATTTTAGAAAGGAATGACACATTTGACAAATGGTAGAAAAAGCATCTTGAAACATGATACAAAAATAATTGCTCTGTAAAGAATGATGTATAAATGGGCTTTTTCTAAGCCTAGCTTTCACAAAGTTATCCTCACTGTGGAGACCTGGAGGCTCCTACACCTGTGGATGCAGCAGTGCCATCATCTGGGGTGCAGGCAGAGCCCCCTCTCCAGCTCAGCACTCACTTGCTGTCCTGCATGTCCACTGCTAGTCACACAGGAGAGGCGCCCCCGTCACTGTGGGGTTTTTACTGAGGATTCTGTGATGCTGACAGAGCATGAAAGGCATGAAAACTCACAGAGACAGAGATGATAAATACACACCGAGTCTCACCAAACCTCCTTCTCCTCTACTCTACGTGTGTGAGCCCATGGGCTCTCCATAACCTCCTCTTTATCCTATTTGAGATATTTTCTTTATTTCCAAACAAAAACACAATGCACACTAAAATGCCTATACCTGCCCATATTTGTGTAGGGTGTGTGTGTGTGAGTGTGTCTTTGTGATCTACTAATATTTTTTTCAAGTCTTTCAACTATTACCCCTATGGTCAAGTATGAATTTTACAATTTGGAATTCCTAAATATTTTTTTACAATGTTATTAAAATCTACAAATTTAGCGCAATATCCCATAAGTGAATAACACAGAGGTATTTCCTCCGGGTACGAATGTGTTTCCTGGAGGGTTATAGCGGCCCATGAGGACCAGGATTCTGAGCTGCAAGTGGACCATTAAGTGTGTTTATTAAAGGTAATTACACACACAGTTGACCCATTCACTGAAAAATCAATATTTTCTCCGGCCCACTCCTGCTTCTTGTAGCCTCAAATTACAGCTAATGACCAAGCTGAGTCTGGAGTTTCCTCGTCTCACATGGGGTTTGTATCAAAGGAGCACTGGTGTTAAAGAAATTGTTTAAATTTCACTGTTATGAAAATAAACTTGAATTTTATATGAGGCTTGGGCTTTCATTGCAAAGAGAAGAGGCCGAAATGATTCTCTAAAATGCATGGTCCACCCAGGAGCAAGCAACTGAAAACACCTAGGGGAAAGCGGGCCAGGGAAGATGAAATGATTTACAGTCATCTTGGATCTCAGCGTGCATCTGTGGTGGAGAGACCTCTGGGGAACTGTCAGAGCTTTGAGCTGTGACCCAACCATGAAAGAGCCTCTTGGGTATTTCATTTTTCTTGCCTTTCACATAAAAAGAGATCGAATACATAATTGACCGTAGGTAAATTAAATGCCATCGTGTGGTGACAAAATAAATCCTAAACTTGTGGAGGACTGATAAAATTCATTTGTGCCTTGAGTAAATGTGAGTTCCTATTTCAGGAGGAATTTACTGACAGCTCAGCCCTTGGTTTTGCTAAAGCGGGGATCATCTTCGATATCCATTCACCGAAGAAGGAGCCACAGTTCGATGGCTTGGGCTTGTCCTCCCCCGTGGGGATGCACGCGAGAGTGACAATCCGCCAGCTGAAGGTGACACCAGGAGCCGTGGGTCTGGGGCATTAGGTGGTGTGGTGAGGGTTTTAAATGCACAAATAATTCTGTGTTACCAGAAACCCTATTCTCCTGTGCTTTTAAACCACTGGGAGAAATATCACAATTTCATTTCAGGTTCCCTTCCTTTATCAGAAGGCACATATTTAGTGACAAGTGACAATAAATTTATATAGACAGCTGGGAAGCCTGTCAAATCCTAGACAACCTAAAATTTCTCTGGCAATGGAAAGGGCTGCCTAAACTGCTGAGCTGTGCATTGCCTCAGTGGGACCATAGGGGAAGGAGAGCACGAACGAGGCAGAGCTTGCAGTCTTGGGGTCCATCTGGTCTGATAGGTTCCCACTTCCCAGCCTCTGGCCCAGTAATTTCCTTAACTAACGGTCTTAAATTGCCTACCCTCCCAGAATAGCTAAGGGGGGCATGGTGGTAATCTTTCTCCTTCACAGTTGTTTCGTGACGTTTAGGCGATATAACAGTGATATTCACTCTGTTGTCTGGTACGTAATAGGCACTCAATAAAGAAATTTTGTTTTTGTAATATCAGTTGCTGTTTCCTGGTTAGGCTAATTAATATGATAAAAAGACATTCACATACATGATTTTTTTCTTATAGGAGTTCATTTTTAAATTATTAGTTTGATCTTATTGATTGGGATAAATGTGAAAATACCACTATTATACTTAGCTTCAGGGAATTTCCAGTTAGGAGAGGAGGCAAAACTGGCAAACAGTCAATTTAAAAAATCAAAGAGCTGGAAGGAAAAGTAAAAATATGTATATATCAGTGTCTCTGATAGAAAATAGGCAGATTGAGTGAGAGAAATCTGAATGTCGTGCCTATTTTATCTTAGACAGTTCACCAAGAATACCCTTGGGGAGAATGCAAGCCTAGTCTCAAGCTGAATTCCGGCAGCTATAGCACTTCTGGGTGCTTGAAGGAGTGCAAAGCCCGGCACATAGAAGAGTGGTGTGGATGTCTGCCTTTTATGCTTCCAGGTAATCAGGGTGACAACGTTCCGCTTAATTATAGCTACTCACTTTGAAACACAGAAGATGAATATGTCGTTAAGTGGGTTTTCATTCGAAGGGAATTTTAGTTTGGAAAAATCACCTACTTGCCAAATGTAGTCTCAGTTGGTAAATTGAAATCAGGGCAGAAATTTCTGGGGGAGGAAGCTGCCAGCAGGCAGGTCCTCTCTTCTTATTGCTGAAGGTAAAATCAGATGCCCTCAGATTCCGAAATGTTTTTATTTACTTACTTTCGATTTTTTTATCCTGTTGAGATGGGGTCTATCTATGTTCCCCGGGCAGAGGCCAAACTCAGAGGCCTGAGTGAGTCTCCCATCTCGGCCTCCTCAGTAGCTGAGGCTACAGGTGTGCAACTCTACACCCAACTTTTGGCTTTCTTAATTTGAAAGAAGAATTAGTTCGCCTGTGTATTCTTACCCATCCTGTGAGATCCTGAAGATCTCACTGCCAGGACATTCATTTTGTTTCTGCCTGTGATAGCAACTCGAAGCCTCCTTTGCTGGAAAACTTTCTAGAAGGTAGGAGGCAGGAGCAGGCTTGAAGGAGGCAGCAGAGCAGGATGGAGGACCTGACCAGGCGGCTCCTCTGTGTGTGGCCATTTCTCAGGCGGGCAATTTCACCACCCGGACTTGTACACTGGGGAGAATGTTGTCCTCCTTCCAGGGTTGTCATAAGTGACTTAAGAAGTCTGAACATGGCTTAAAAATTCCCAGCACACACTGTCATCTCTGTTAGTGTTGAGCATTTGTATTCAGGCTTCCTTCATACCCCACCTACATGCTCCCTGCCTGTGTCTCCCTCTCCTACACACACACACACAGGCCCTCACACATGTATTAACTCCACTTCATCCATAATCACAGTATGCACCGGGCAAAGTACTCCTCAGGAACTTTGACTCATAGTCTCCTTCTTTCAAGAACCTTGATGCCTGTTTTCTGGTCCCTCCATTCTAAAACACTGCAGGCCAACAGCTCTGATTTGCTATTGTGAGTTACACTGGCAACGCTGCTGGGAACAAGTCTGAATAGAACCATACAGCCTAAGGTTTATAATTTAAAAGTTTATTACTTTTATAAAATACAAACTGAATAATTAATGTGGGCGAGAAACTGAGGAAGATGCTGTGCAAAACACAGAGAGTGGCGTTGACATGAACTTTAGGAGGTACCAAGTGTTTTCTTTGGATAGGAACTCTCTAAAGGTACACACGGATGAGGCAGGTGAGACTTATAGGTTTACAATAAATTATCCACAGTGACTCTAAGAACAATCTGAAGAAGCAATTCCCCGAAACAGCTTTTAGAGATGGGTAATTTCCAAAGCGTCATTCTTTTATAATGGAAGAAATAGTATTGCAAGAAGTAAGATACACCTTGGGAAAAATGAGGCCTTCGGCTAATGATATTGGAGATCAGAGTTTTTTTCCGTTTTTCACTTCTGGCAGTTCCTTCACAAGAAACATTTCATTACAGGCATTCTGCACATTATCCACAAATTCCAAGTGGACAATCTCCTTTGGTTATTTACAGGATTACTGACTGCACATTGTGGTTGGCCTAAGAAGCCACATGGGTTATAGCAGTAGACAAACACTCTATCAAAGTTCAAGGACTAAGGTTTTAGAGTCAGGCCTGGGATTGAGCTCAGCTTGAATATATATTGATTTTATAACTTGCCTCAAAATCCGCAGTAGATGTTTAATAAAAATTAACATATATCTACCCCTATTCTGGTCATAGAAAGGCAGCCCATCAGGAAAGTGTGTGTGTTAGATAGCTTCCCCATTTCTCAGACACAATACCCTACCTGCATAGTTTAAAGGAAGAGAGGTTTAATTTGGCCCATGGTTCAGAGAGTTCAGTCCATTGCTGGCAGGCTCCAAGGCCGGCACGTCATGGAAGAAGGGTGCAGTGGAGCAAAACTGCTCAGGTCATGGTGCCCAGGAAGCAGAGGAAGGAACAGTGCCAGAGAGGAGGGGGCCATGAAGCCAGGCTTCAACCTCCCTCCCGGAAACACCAGAGTGTGCTTTCCTAATCACGTGGGTGGCTCCCAATCCAATCGAGTCAACACAGCATAGCCTAACCCCACAATCTCCGATGCATGGAAAAATAGTCAGACAGACAGACTGACAGAGCAAGACAGAAGTTATACAGAATGTGCCATGGTCCCACTAATGGCATAGTCTTGGGCAAGGTACTACCTGAAGTTTATTTTTTTCATCTATAAAATAATGATTCCCACGTCACAAGATTGTGAGCAGAGTCAATCAAAATAATAACTGTGAAAGGTATTTTATTTTACTTTTACAGTCCTGAGGATCAAACCTAAGCCATTGTGCATGTTATTCCCACTGAAGCACTATACAATTATATAGACAGAGGGGAAGAAAGAAAAGCATATTTCTTCCTCTTAACACATAGTTTTACTGAGTCATAGTATGTCTTAATCATTATCTGATAAAGGAACAAATGTCCATACAGATAGATGAATGGGTGGATAGATGGATGTAGGTGGCAGTTATTTTTGTCACTAGGTTGCTGAATTTATAAAATGTAAAATCTGGGGGCTGGGATGTAACTTAATGGTAGAGCACATTCTTAGCGTGAGTGAGGTCCTAGGTTCAGTCCCCCACACCAAAACCAAAAGAAACACTCTCTTTATGTTACATTTACTGTTTTTAAGGAAATGGGATTGAATGTGACCTACAAAAATACTACAACTGTGTTTCTCCTGTCCTTGGTAAGTGGCTTCATTTTCTTTCAGGATTTAAGTTAAAGGTTAAGGTTACTTAGAGTAATATAAACCATTAAATAATTGTGTGTGTGTATATATATATATATATATATATAGCACAAAAATGAAACAGAAATAGACTATGAGAGATTTAAAAAATATTCTTAAACTGGCTTGCAAAAACATTGACAGTAAAATAAAAACAAAAAACAAAACTGATTTCGGGACATGTCAGTTAAAGATACACAGTGCCAGTAACAAGAGAGTTCTGAGTTTTACTTCCAACTCTTTACATTGTTTTTAAAATTTTGATTTTGAAAATAAAAAGAGACTTTTTTCTTATTCTAGGAATAAAGCATGTTTATTGTGCATAGGTCAAATAGTACAGAAGAGAAAATAATCACCCAAAAGTTACTTCAAGCAATATCACTATGGACATTGCTCTTGCTGTTTGAGAACCATTCATTTTATTACACATACATTTTATATATAAAGTTTTACATAAGTAGAATCAAAACCATGCAAGCCTTATTTATCGGGGACAAGTTCTTACATAGTATTTTTGTTTTGCTTACATACCAATCTTAACCCCCAACTGGAGAACACTCTAGTATATTTTTCCATTACATTCTCCATATGCAGCTTCATATTTATGACTTTAAGTCATTGATTGTTTATTAAATGAAATCTTATTACATACTCTTCTATAAAAAGCTGTTTTTCTAATCCATTGTGGAAACATCTCCAGCACAACAGGAATAGGTTCTTTTTAATGGTTGTAAAACATTTCGAGATATGAATGTGAGTGGAAGAGATTTTATATTTTTCTACAGCTCACAGGCTGAATATCGCAAAAAGACACATTCATGACCAAAAGGGGGTGAATCATGTTGTCAGATTTCTTCTGATTTCTTCAAATTTCTTCTGATGGAGCTGCAGAGAAAGCTTGAGGGAAAACACCATGCATGTGATTCTTGAGGGACTGTCATGGTGAATAGGGCCACACGGTACATGTGTGAGCCTGTGAATGGGCCTGTGTATACGTGTACAGGTGTGTATATCTGGGTATAAGTGTGTATGTATGTGTTTGAGTGTGAACATGTGAGAATAGGAGCCTGAGTGCTTCTAGAAGAGTATGATTACGTGAGTGCAAGTTTGTGCATGTGTGTGCATGAGTGTGTGGGATTATATGTGAGACATGTGAGCATATAAGTGCATGAGTGTGTAAGAATGGGACTGTATGTGTGTGGAGAGGAAGCGTGGTCATTGCTACCATTAGTCTTAAAACACAAAGATGCACTAGGGGTGAGATATGTCGGAGAGTAGAAAACGAGCCCCAGATTGGGTGTTAATTAAAAGGTTTTGGTGAGCAACATGTTCATGACAACAAAGGGTTTTAGTATGGAAGCCCTAGGAGTGGGTGGCGGTGAGCGGAGGCAGGGGAGGATGAGAAGGAGCCACAGAGGAACCCTACCCGGCAGGGCTCTTCCCAGCACACAGGTAGGTGGTGGGGGTGAAGCCTCAAGGGAGGACTGGAGACAGAGAACCCAGGGTCTCTGAGCAGTCACCGGCTCCAGAGCAAGAAATGAGACCTTGAAGAAGGGCAGCGCATTGTGCACCAAGCCACATCTAAGGACAGCTTCAGTCCAGCCTAAGCCCTTTGCTTCCAGGGCTGTGTTTGACCGTTCCTCTCAGAGTGACCCAAGGTCACACAGCTCTCCATCTCTCTCCTACCCGAACAGCTAATAATTTATGGAAACAACTAATTTCTAATAATTTAAAGCTAATCTAATAATCTAAAGCTAATAATTTATGGAAACATGATTTATGGAAAAAAGAATTTCTCATTGCTAATAAAGATCTGAACCCGGTGTGGCTCAAGGAAGTCAAGGATGACAGCTCTGATACCTTTTATTTTCCATTTCCTTTGTTGTATCATGGTAAAATGTAAACACCATTGGAGAAAGAGTAGTGGTAAAACTTGTTAAGCACTCTTTTTAACATGGAAATTGAAATCACTATGGAGTTTACAAAGCTCTGTCCTCCCTGCTGCGGAATAATCTTCTCTACTCTATCCTGATCTTCATTTCAGACCTCGTAGAATTTAAGGAGTTATGTACCATGGGAACACATAACTCCAGCTGTCCTGTGTCTTGTGAGGAAACAGAATACCCTGCCACCGTTTCTTATTCCACGTTTTCGGGACAAAATGCTTTGAAACTTCTCTCCAAGAAGCTGAATCAAAGCCAAGAATATATCAGGTGATTGTGTTAGCCTTATAAATTATTCACAATTCACATGAAGTTTTTCTTTGTTGGAAACATTAAAAGTTCAGGAGATGAAATGTGTACCAATCCAGGGAGGTGATGGCTGATGTCAGTGGGCTAACAAGGAAAGCATAGAAATGTAAACTTGGGTGAGATCAGGCCTTTCAACCCCTTACTCTGTGGGAAAAGGAAATGGAGCTCACTGGACTCCTTTGCTCCTGGTTACAACTCATCTGGGAAAAAGAACAACTCTGACTGATGTCTATTACAGTTGAAAACAGGGAAAGCTTCTATCAGGGTATCATATAGCTTGCATCTTCTAACAGCCACGTAAGTGATGGAACAGAAATTACTATTCTTTTGCAAAACACGGATTTGGCCTAAGACCTGACACCACAATAATGATATATTGGTATCTGTGTTTATGTCTATTAAAATAAATGTACAATAATTTAAAGTTGACTATCTTTACACAACCAAGTAGATAATTTTGAAAGTATGTTTTGATTCAGTTTCTCCCTAGCATTTATTTTAATGAAAGAAAAGTCTTCAATGTAAGTGCATCAAGGAGAAAATGATCTTTACAAATCAGGAAGAAATAAGTATTTGTGTTAATGTAGAGTTTGTGGCATATTCAAACAGTTAGAGACAAAAAATAGAGAGGTCATACATTTGCAATTACCTTTACTTATACTGCTGTCTCCAGTGCAGATATCTCTTTATTTTCGATTCCATTTTTTTTTACTGTAAGGGATCTCACTTTGTTTTTTATTAATCCATGTGTGCAGTGCATAATGCCTGCACTCCTTGTGTGGAGTTGGAATGTGTTCCTAACTCATCTTCATTCCTTTTTTAATCCCTCACCCTCCCTCTCCCCCCACCATCTCTTGATCTGTTTCCTGTTTCTCTTCACGTTTGCAGTGCACAATATTTGCATTCTTCATGTGGAACTGGTGCATGTACACCCCCTTTTGTCCCCTTTCCCCTTCTCCCTCCATCTCTGTATGTCCTTCCCCTTTTGGAAAGATCCATCTCCATATTTCCTATCTTTTATTTTGGTCTTTTTATATTTTGGATTTCTCATAGAAGATAAAAGCTTTGTGTCTGATTTATTTCAACTAACACTATGGTCTCAAAGTGCATCCATTTTCCTATAGGTGACTCAAGTTTATCTTTCCTTCTCACAGTATATGTCATTTTCATATGGGAAGCTGTTTTGCTTGTAGTATCATGCCTATTATATTTAAATATGATTTTGTGTGACTTTTGGTTTTTAGAGATCTCCTGAGTTCCAGAATTGTTGAATTTGTCCAGAAGGTAGGCAATGTGTCAGAGGTATGCTGGTAAATCAGAAAAGAAACCTATGTATTGAACAGGAAGGTCCTGGGCAATACTTTTTTAAATCTGATCTTTATAAATAGGTTTCCAATTACAATAACATAACTGATGGATAGGGACTGGCTATGATAGTGAAAGCTAATTCTTAGGAGACTAAAGTAAGCAGTGGCGCAAAGGTGGCTCAGTATTTCCTGAATCCTAGATGGTGCTGCTGAGAGCTCACACATGTATCTAAGAAATTTTGCACTGGTAGCAAAATAAAAGAGTAGTAAATCAGAATACACAAATGCAGTTTGTCAGGAGAGCAGACATGAGATCTGAGCAGCAATGTGATTTACAAAGATGCAGTTCCTAATTTAATCACGATACCTGCATGTTTCCTCCTGGAGGAGAAATCACCCCCAGGCTGTGGCCAGGCCAGGGCCTAGCTGGTAGCTGCTGAATTGCATTATAAAGATGATGAGAAGCTTAGCACAGCTGAGGAAGGTAGTGTGGAGGTGAAAACAAGGGTAAATTGTGGCTGAACTTGGGAGATTTTGTTAGTCATTAAGTAAATTGTTAAAATTATTCTTTTGTTTTGCCTTGGGTCTAGATGTCCCCCAAAGCCTCATGTGGTCATAGGTGGAACTTTTTGGAGCTGGCTGGATCTAGGGTGTGTGATGCTGAGATTAAGGATGTAATGCTGGGACTGATTCATAGTATGATGCTAATTTTAAGGCTGCCCCACACTGGATGTGAGGGCTACCATCCTAAAGGTGGGAAGCCTGGATAGAATATAAGGAACAGAAAGAGGGCTGCTGTGGTTGCAGCATGTCACTTGTCACTTGCTTTTTCACTACTTCACTGCTTTGCTGCCTTCCTGCCTTCTGCCCACCATGAGCTGTTTTTCCTCTGTGATGAGATGCTTCCTGCCTTGCAGCCAGCTGACTATGAACTGAAACTTCTACAAACTCTGAGCTACAACAAACCTTTTCTTCTTTAACTTTGGGTGTCAGGTATTTTGTCTTAGCAATGAGAAAAGTAACTAAGGCATCTATTTAACACATCTATTATTTTGAAAATAAATAGCACAAAATGGTTTTATGCAGCAGCACTTCATTCTCCTTAATGTTGCCTTCATGTTGAGCCAGCAAGGAGGAAGCATTTTCTTAGTGTTTTGTAACAAGATGCTCATATTTAAAATCTCTTTGTCCTTGCTAAAATCCAGACTTTATTTTGCAACTGTGCTTTTCCTAAGATAAGCAAATGTTCTTGTATGTCATTGAACAATTTCACTATCACCATGAGGCACAGATTCAGTGTGAAAATTACTGGACAGATCAGCTGCCTGAGAGAAGCTGAGTAAACATTGCAATGTTTTTGTGGGAGAGGAATTTCTTTTCTCCTAGTAACACAGATGGATAATGCTTGGATATGATCGTGAATGTTGTGCTTGGGGAACTAACAACATTATCAGTGCACATGCAGATTAGGAGCACATTGGAAGACAGAAATATTGGAGCATTACTAAAATTTCTGAACTTCCAATATAACTTTATTATTTCTTTCACTTTGGCAATTGCTTTATTATTTATAAATATTACAATGTTCCCTGTTTGTCTCTTTAAACATTGTACGTTCTCCTGTTAATCAGGGTTAAACCAATGGAAATTAGGTACACACATTAATGAGACATTTTGAAGTAAGTATATTTGGCAGTATTGATTTCAAACACTGTAAATAATAAGGAGAGTGATTTACAGCCATGTTCCTTAGAAATGTTAACGAACATCACATAATTCCAGGAAACATTGATAATAGGAACTATTCTTAGTGAACATTTTTACTGCCATCTGAAAATAGTGAGGTGGTTGGTTTCCCCTTCAGCTTATAGCACAGGCAAATTAATATTCATTTCATGGCTTCCTCTTTAATTTGTTAGTTTTTCTTACAAATATATGTGACCACCTGTTATGTGCTAGGAATCGATGGGTATTCTTGGACTTAGTGACGCCTCAGTGTTTGAGAGACAAAACCCTGCTGTGCGTCTCTTTCTACTGGGATGGAAATAAACAGCAAGGATGTACAGTCACCTCCCATGGACCAAGAGAGATAGCAGGAAAGGGGCCCAAAGAAGCCAGAATCAGAGAGGTTGTTCCCAAGGTTGTGGATTGTGACCAGGAAAAATCATCCTAAGAGGGTGGAACTGTAAGGTCAGAGACAGGGGGAGGGCCTCCTACTGTGCATGAAGAGCTGTCATATTAATATGGCTCCAGAAGACAGTAAAAGTGAATCAGTGACCAAAAGTAAACACCCTTTACTGAGCAGTGGATGCACGCCCGTCCCGTGCCAGTCCTGTGCAAACACTATTTAATTGCTTTTCAGCACAACACTGTGAATTCAACTCTAAAATCCTGGCCACAGATGGGGAAACCAAAACTCAGGTAAACAGTGCAGTTTCTCCAGGGTAACATAACTAACGAAGGAAAGAACCAGGATTGAAATTAAGATTAAATACATATTTAACTATTCGTAAAGACATTAGTCACCTCATTAGATGCTGATGATTATGGTCATCTTCCAATTTCTCAGGAATGAGGCAGGAAAAAATGATTGCAGGCAACAGTTCTTTCCCCCCCAGTTCCAGCCTAACAGGGTTGTCTTCCACATGGTGCTGCTTGGGATTAATATCAACGCACATGCTGTGTCTAACTCAACAACCAATAGCATCTTACTAAAATGAATGACTTGTTGGGTGGGAGCGTAAAACAGTGCTGACAGTCCATGCCAATTCTGTGTTCATCCCCAGAGAGAATCTGCTGAACATTGAAATCAACTACAGCGACTTAAACTATAAGATAACCCAGCAGCAAAAAGCAGTCAGCGTGCCTGAATTACTTGGTAAGGGTTGCCTAGCTGCTTCTCAGCTTTCCAGCAGGATGTTTTCCTTTTGTAGTTAAGGTTTAACTTATTAATGGAGAAAAAAGAATCACACCTGTTCTTATCATTTGTTCACCTCTGGCCTTTTGCAGACCTTAGAAAGCACTGGGAGACAAGGGGAGGGCACGGTGAAGAGCCTGCTGCCCTTCCTTCTCTCTTTCCTTTCCCGCCCACCCAGGGAGTGACCACTGCAGAGGTTTTCAGTGAGTGAAATTCAGCCACCTCCTGCCTCCACCCAGAGCTGCACAGGGAGGGTTCAAGAACCGGGCAAGCAAACAGAGCACTTAGATCCCACCACTGCCCGCTCTGCTCACCCACCAGGCAGCCTAACTCTCTTCCTGCTGCTCTCCTGACTCTCTCTGTGTTTTCTATTATTACTAAGTTCATTGGTCCAGTTTAGATTTATAATGATCACATTCATCACAGGGACTGTGTCCCTGTACCTGCTGTACCTTGATTCCTTTTTATTTCCCATTCCCCTCCCCTCCCTTCATGCCCTCTTCCCCTCCTTGCTTATAAAAGCTTTGCTTCCATTTTATCCTCACTGTGTGTTTGAAGAAGGCTCGCTGGAAGTGGAAGACAGTGTCAGAGTCAGGCAAAAAGACAGAGTGAGCAGCTGAGATCCCAAAGAGGGAGAAAATACACAAATTCTCAGCAGTTTTCAGAGAAGCTTACACTTAACCAGCTCAGTGAGACAGATTAGGAATCTGATCAAAAAGACAGTACTGAGGTTTTCAAACAGAGAGAGAAAGGGTGACTGGCAGGGGCCGGATGGGCAGTTGCCGTTCAAACCATGTCCCTAGTGGGACGATTTCAGAGATGAATGATGAGGACAGTGTGTAAAATGGGAATGTACTTCGTGCCACAGAACTGCACACTGAACACTGATTAAATATCGTTTTTAAAAACCTTTTTAAAAAGCAATGTTGTTTTAATTTACTTAGATTGAATGAAATGTTATAAATGTTTAAAAAGAAGTAAAGTTTGGACATTTGCAGTCCAAATTGCCTGGAAATTAATTTCCTGCAAAACAGTGCCAGCTGGCAATGTCACCTCTGCTCAGCATTTCACACGCGGAAACAGATGCATTGTTATTTAGGACCTTTTAGGGTTTACTTAGGCTGCATACCTTCCAAAGTCTTTGGGATGTATTTTCAGAGATAGATTTTATGTTTGTTTTCTCCCTCTTCTTTCTGAAATGATTTGAACGAATACTCTTGCCAGATATTATGAACCACTATTACTTTAATTATGCCAAATTTTAAAATAAAGCAATTAACCTATTTTCACATATCAGTTGTCTGATATTCTATCTATTTTTATATAATGTTGGTTCCTTATACCCACTACTATCAGCTAACTAATTAGCTTCAAATAATTTCATTTCTAATAATGTTTGTTTGCTTTTTATGAAAAAGAATGCTTGACTCGATTTTTGTATCTCTTTTTATTACAGCGGATATCGGTGGCCAGCTGGGCCTATTCTGTGGGGCCAGTATGATTACAATTATTGAAATTATTGAATATATATTCACCAATTTCTACTGGGTTTGCATTTTCTTTTTGCTGAAGATACCTGCAGTGACCCAGTGGGCTCCTCCGTCTCACAATCATTCTGGGAATAAAAATGGGATAGAAGAGTGCTAACGTTCAGTTAAAATAAAAGCGTATTTTTACACTTCACAATACTTTCAGATTCACCACGGTTAACTCATTGTTTATAGTTTGGAGAGCTGAATAAAAGTCACTGGAGATACCAATTTCTTTATGCATGTTTCTGTCCATCTGTAACTATTTATATCTATAAAAGAAGGAGGTGCTAAGTTTTTGCCATTGCTTTAGATCCTAGAACAGTTGAAATTATGTCATAGACATTTCATATTTTGTCCAATGAAGAAGGGTTTGATAATGGGAAAAAGCTACTACTTATAACTAAATATGCAAATTACACTTAACAAAATGTAGTAGTCAGGAAATAGTATATATAATTTCTGATTTATAGAATTCTGAGAATTTTGGTTTTCACTAAGCTTCAACATAATTTTTCTACTTTCATCTGTATAGTTCTATTTTAACTGATTTTTAGAGGAGCAGGGATCCATACTGCCTATATATCTAGATAATTAAAATAATTTTGATTGAAAGTAAATTTGAATCCGTATGCCATTGTTTCTTTCCAAGGCTGTCAATGTATTTAATGTAAGTTATAGAGGGAATTCAAGTGTCAGTGGTTACTCTTCAGGCAGTGACCAACTTTCCACTTTGCAGAATACACTATGGAGGGGAATTATTCAGAAGCCTCTAACACACTTAGGAAATGATAATAACCAGGTCAAAGAATTCTTGCTCCAGTGCTGGGGGCGTAGCTCAGTGGCATAGCACATGCTTAGCACGTGAGGTCTTGTGTTCAGTGCCCAGCACACGCACGTGCACACACACACACACACACACACACACAATGTATTTTAGTCTCAAACTTACTCTGTACAATACTGGTTAGTCCTGGTTGCGTTTTCCTCCTGGGCACGTGAGACTAACTCCTGAAAAATCTCCAGAAGCTGTTCATGAGCTCAATGGTACCAAGTGCTAGGGCTGTGGGAATGAGGTCAGCATGAGCACAGTGTGGTCCTCAGGCTTAGAGGAATGTGTATGCTCAATGACTCAGAAACCAGTCTTGAGAGGCAAGCAGAGGACTTCCCGCACACAGATGTCCCACTGGGACATCTGCATCTCCACCTCCAGCCCGTAGCGCAGGTGCAGTCTATGGAAGATGGAGCAGCAGAGAAGAGGCTATGGATTAAATAAATGTAAGCTTATCCAAAGTACTGAATCTACCATTGGTATATCTTAAAAACAGAGCAAGAAAAGAGTAAAATAAAGGAGAAAACAGCAAAATTTACAGTAAGAATATAACACAATTCATTTTGTGTAAATTAAACCTCTATGCACTCAAATGTACATGTCTTAAAAGGACATGCATTTAAAAAAGATACATAATGACATATTAGAAGGACTGTCTGTGGTAGAAAGGGGAAATGAGGAAGCATAACACAAAGGAATAAGTAAAGAAGAAATATACAATTAATGATGACAGTATTATGTGAACGGCTAGCACATTTCTCTGCCCTGTGGCCCCCCAAAATGAAATAAAATATGTAGCTGCAAAGCCATGCTTTTGGTGACAGCTAAAAAGGATGGGGTTTTTTGCTGATATTTCTGTGGTTGATTCGAAGGGTTTGTGAAATGCAGCTCCTTGCTTGGTGCATTCACTGCAAGCTTGAAATTCCTGGATTTATGTAAATACACTAAAGAGAGGAGAAATGATTTTTTTCTTTTAAATCTTGAAACAATTTGTATTTTGAGCTATTGAAGAAGAAAGACTCCACAAATATAATTTGAACGACAGTTTTGGGCTTGATGAGGCTAGCATGGTAAGAAATGTGAAGTGTTATATATGATGTCCACTAACTTACCTTCAGTATTCTCAGCTGCGGAAATGAAAACCAGTGTGTTTTCAAAAGAAATAAAATGAGATTGCTGTCATGGGAACACTAACTAGCTAGGAATGGAGTTTATTGGAATTGAAGCCTCACTTCCCTTAATTCAGAACAAAGAACCTCGACTCTAGACCATAGGCCAGTGTGCTGGACAACTGAAGTGGACAATGCTGAGTGCTAGAAGAACTGAGATTGACTTTGAACTCTCAAATATATGTGGCAGAAGTACTGTCTGGGTTTAGATGTAAAATGTCCCCCCAAAGTTTCATGTTTCCAGGTGAAGCTCCTGGGTGTGATTGGGTAATGGGACGTATATCTGAGTGTGCTGTCAGGAGGCGTAGCTCGATAGCAGGAGGTGGTCACAGGAGGCGTGACCTGGTGCCCTTAAACACAGGCATAAACAGGTGTCCTTGTCCCGGGTTCCTCCTTCTCTCCCTGCTTGCTGGCTACCATGGCTTGAGCAGCTGTCCTCTTCCACGCCACTCTGCCATGCCGTCTCTCCCTTAAAGCCAGCCAACCTTGGACTGAATCCTCAGAAACTGTGAGCCAAAATAAATCTCTTCTCCTTTAATTTGTCCCAACTTTGGGAAAATGACTAATAAAGCACTTAGGTTAAAAAAAAAAAAAAGAGTATTGAAGATCTGATGAGACTTTAATGCCAAATTGGTATGACCCTAGTCTTGATTTAAAGTAACAAAACCTCTAATGCAGATGACCAGACATACATGATATCCATACACTTTTCACCATATACTTTTGACCCCAGAGAGGTTTGTAACATAGATTAAAGTAGAGAAACTGAATGAAGGAGGAAATGCTATAACAGGATGCCCTGGTGCTTTGCTAATCACTTTAGTGAATTCACTAATGAAGGAAAGAAAACGAAACGTAAACAATGTGAAATTCAGACTGATGCTTGAAAACAACAGCAAGAAAAAAATGGGCCTCACTTTTTGCCAGAAGTTCTAGTGGGAACGTGGGCAGTACTGTGTCTCCTCAGAAGACCACTGCTCTCTGACTCTTTTTTAGGAAATGCACCATCTAGAATTTTTACTTGCTAATTGCACCTTAATTTAAAACTCTATAGATAAATGACTAAATATCATACAGTGCCAGACAGTCTGGGCATAATTAGACCACATGACTGAAAATTACCATCCACTGGCTTTGAATCTTCAAATAATCAAGAGGAAAATACAATATTATGGTAAACACAGTGAAATAAAAGAGACTATTCAGGATAAATATTCATTTTATCCACACCATCCAAATAATTCCTCAGGGTTTTAAATGTATGAGTGATATTTCTCTTGGGGTTGAGAAAATAATCCAGACAGTATGAGCGTCTCTGAAGTACTTCAAAACTTTCTTACAGAGAAATGGAATAGTCTTTGGAAGCATGTGAAATATTGTGGATACAAGCAGCCCTTAGTCTGTGGGATGATGGCTAGTAACATGCCACACTGACGTGACAGCCACCAGTAAGCATGAGGCATCATCACAAGGACAGGTGCTTTACAGGACCTCCTGTAAGAAGAGATCGGGCATCTGGTCAGCTGCTGTGAAGGGCATGCGTGGCAGCCAGTACGCACAGATAGAAGTTTATGAAAGAAGATCTGAGTCAATGACAAGTCTTCGAGTATCTGAGAGAAAAAGAAAAAAGAGTAACAAGGAAAATTGGAACGAGAAACAGCTCAGACTACTAGAACTTCTGGGATAGTTGGAAAGGGAGAAGTAGGAGAGGGGACTGACAAGGTTGGTATGACAAACTAGGGGGTACGTATTTTTCCTGCAGGGAAAAAAATCTGTTTGTAAGTTGGGCAACTGCTTCATCTCAAGACTTCCACAACATTCATGCCCTGTCCCTATTCAGATGACGTTAACTCAATGGTACAAAGCAGAGTGGAGAAAAGGGTTAGAAGCAGAAACTGACCTACTGAAGTGCTGGGAGAAAAGCGACTGGCCTGCAAGTCGAGAGCTCCTTGCCAGACCTCCTGACAGTCAGTGGTAAACCTGGGTTCTTGTGGTCCTAATGAACTTCTGGATGGTCGGATGGTGGTGGGCAACGCACTTGTCTTCCCCGGAGAAGCAGAGCGCAGTATCTTCCGAGCGTCAGCACTGAGAAGATGCAGGGTGGTGTGGCTCGAGGACACCTCAGCCCATGCAGGGAACGTATTTCACATGTAAGCAGAGAGCTCTGCCTCACCAGCCCAAAGCTTTATGCACATCAACTGCGCCTTCCCCTAAACCAGGACTTCACCGCTGCCCAGTGCTCCCAGCACACAGGAAGCTGTTCTTGGGTGTCCTGCGACCATACGTGCACTCGGCATGAAGTGTCTCTTGCTGCAGAGTGGGCATCCGTCTCTAATCAAACCTCAGCCCGTCCTCCCAGGACCTCTGCCCCTTTCCTCCTTCTGTATGCTGGCCCATCCTGACCCACAGCTCCATGCCCTGCATTCAGCTGCAACCCCTCGGAGCTCTGCATTGCCACTCAAGAGATTCACAACACGTGGCACAGTGCCAGAATCAAGTTTCTTAAATATTTCTCTCTTATCCCAAGTCATTTTTTAGCTTTTGATTTCTTACCTTTCATAAACCAACCGTTGTAAGCATTCAGCATCACTTTTAAACTTCTTCCCCAGCATCCTTCGCTAGTGTGTTTCTTTCTCTTTCCCACGACTTTATCATGAAGGGATGCTCCTCAGTAGTACATGATTTCTCCCTTTTCAGCATTATTTTCATGAAAAGAGCTAAATATTTCCTACTTTTGAAAGTCTGCCATCCCTAATAAGTATACTTTTGGTTTCTTCAATCCCAATTTAATTCTTTTTCATTTAAACATAAGGTGTTTTATCAGTGCTATTTAAAAAAATACTTGAATAATGTAATAAATTAATATATTCAATTAATGAAGTACATTTTTACAAAGACATTAACATAGGAAAGTGGATACTATATACAATCAACATTTTCTCTTTGGTTATTAAATATTTTTTTAAATTGGAAAATTTTTAAAATAATGAACAATCATGTTCTCATTATTCAGAATTAATCAACATTATGTTTGGGCTTATTTCCTTCAGATTTTACACTTGTGGAATCATGATGTGTATTAATCTGAAACCTGCTTTTGGAATTTCACATTTTGTGAGTGCATTCCTTCTAATACATAAAGATATAGTATATTAAGTTGTTGCACAAATTTGCTTCAGTAAATATACTATGA